ATTACTGCTACTAGTTTATGTATTCACTACAATATAATTGTATTCACTTAAGTGCACTCCTACTAATTGAAAAAATAATGTTAAACAGTATGTCATGTTACAGTGGCACATCCTCATTCATGTCATGTTTGCCTCCTCTCTTGATTACTGTATTTTATCTTGTGTTTGATTTAATCTCTTGCTCTTTTTTCATCATGACAAGGAGCAATAGGCTATCCTATATGTATATGTGTACAAATACACACATATATACACATATATACACAGATATACATATATTAGTCTAAGTGTATAATAGGCTACACTATCTATATCTTTATAAGTAGACTTTATGGTGTTCACACAATGACAAAATCCACTAATGATACATTTCTCAGAACATGTCTCCATTGTTAGGACATACAAAACTGTACTTTAAAGAATTTTCCTTCTTTTTGAAACCTAAATAGTGAATAGGAAAAATGTCGTATCAACAAAAATCACAACCAAAATCAATTACTGAGAACTGAGACTTCATTAAGGATCATGTACTTTATGCCTGCAGTAACAGGAAGCCATTTACAGCTTTTTAATAGTGATGCAATAAGTAAAAATATTTCCCTTTAGAGCAGCAATTTCTAAAGTGGTGTTCAGATACATAGGAAGTATGCAAATGATCCACAGGTGACCAGAAAAAAAGCATTGGTACTTCTACATTATATTCATTATATCTCACATTTAATTTAATTCTCAAAAAACTTCATATATATTTTTATTTTTTGTTTTTAGATATATATGACAATAGGGTGGAAAGACAGTAGAATGAATCTGACATAACTTTCCTATGCTTGTGTATGAATACACAACCAGTGTAACTCCACATCATGTTTAACCACAACAATGGGATCCAAATCATAATGGGTTGCACTTCATTTGTTTCAAAATTTGTACATTCATAACATACTTTCCCCAATTTTCTGTGACATATGTAGATGTATTACAAATGAAGATATATATTTTAGAGGTAGTACAAAATGTTTCTTGGAGAGGTGTGCATAGAGTAAATAGTTTGTGAACTTGCTTTACAAAATCTGAGATCGCAGAGCCTCACATTACAGATGTCATCTGAGGACACAGAAACAAGGAAGCAGACAGACTAAGTGGTGACTCAGCCACTTCAATATCCTCTCAGTAGTGGCTGTCTGCCTCCCCCCACAAGAGGAGTAATCATCCCCTAGATTTGCAAAATATAGTCAATGATTCCCTTAAGCATCACATACATACACATTCACAAGCAAGGTAGACATCCTAATGATCTTATTTTAGTGCAAGTATCACACACTTGCTGCCTGTAAATATACAAGTTAAATGTTTCTCCTCCCAGGGTAAGATGGCATAGTCCAGTTGTCATAGAAACCAGAAGTACATCATGTTATTATGGGTGATGCTGGTTTTCTATGACAACCAGATAGTGCAAATTCATTCTCAGAGGCCAAATTTTAACCCCTACTTCAGAAACTTGAATTCACACCCCCGATTCAATGGATAAATGAATATATATTATAGGAAGTACCAGACACACATGAAGAGATATGCATTAGAGAGAAAGCCTTACTATCTTCCTATACAATGGTTTAAGGAATCATTTTATATAGACATGTCAACAATTTAGACTTTCTTGTCAGACACTCATCTGTGTTCCATTCCCAGTTCAGTATACCTTTTTGAGACTACCATAGCATCTTCTGGGTCTGAAAGAGATCTCAAAGACCACTGAATCCTAGCTGCACTCTCACTTCCACATGATGTATGATGACACCAAATCCCAGAGAAGGGGAAAATGCAGACATATCTGAGACATTGCCATATACTCTGAATAAGTGCCTTAGGTGTGAATCACATGACAGAATGGGTTAGAATTTCTCTACCTGCATCCAGAATCTCTGCCCACAAATTCACAAAGACATAGGTCACTTGGGACTTCAGTTACCAGAAGCTGACTTTCAGATGTTAATATTAGAGTATGCTTTTACTGAACTCTGCCTCTGGAATATGTGGTCTATCTCAGCCAGCATAGAAAATAGATTTTTCACATAATTCATAATATTAACTTCTCCTTCCTTTGATATCTTAAAATGATCCATAGATTAGAGCCTGAAACCAGAATCCTGTCATTCAAAAAAAGTCTGTATTCATAAGGAAGCATTTACATATTTTTTATTATTTTAAATTATGTCATGACAAAAAACCCAAAGTCAAAGCTAACAAAAAGGGTAAGAATAACAAAAATAAACAATGTTCTATTCAGAAATTAAATATTCTATGTATATTTACAATGAGGCATATGCAAATTTACTGACAGAAAAATAATAAAATAAAGTCAAGTTATGAGCTAATCAGTAAAACAGTATGTCATGTAATATAAAACATGCATATTAAAAAGACGTTATATATTTCTTCTTAAGGCATAATTACAAGATGATCAAAAAACCCTTAAAAGATATACACAAACCTGTTGAAATAAATAGTTGCATATGGAAATGAGGGAGTAGCATTATGGGAGGTTTGGTGAAGTAAAGTTCTAGAGTTTCTTTAATTTTAAAATGTTTTATTAGGATAAATAATTGATTACTTATTTATTTATTTAGTACTGAGGATTGAACTCAGGGGCACTCAACCACTGAGCCACTTCAGCAGCCCTATTTTGTATTTTATTTAGAGACATGGTCTCATTGAGTTGCTTAGCACCTCACTTTTGCAGAGGCTGGCTTTGAATTTATGATCCTCTTGCCTCAGCCAGCCTGAGCCACTGGGATTATAGGTGTGCACTTACCACACTCTGCCAATAATTGATATGTTAAATTGCCGCAGTCTGGCTGGGCACAAATCATGAGCCACTCAAGCAGGAACAAACTTCACTTCCAAACTCACAGGAACCCCACTCACGCAGCCCTCTCAGGAACACCACACACCAACCGGAACTCCTTCCACCAGCACTTCCCCAACCAATGGGAACTCTTCAGGAACCCCAGCGAGAGCTCAACCGGAACTCAACGGGAACTCCGCGAGAACTCAAAAGTCATCATCTTAATGGCTTGCTGGTGTCACCTCTCAACACTACTTCTGGCAAAAATGCCATGCGTCATCCCGACTCAGCTGTGGCCCTCAACATTAAATATTGCAACTAGATATTACTTTAAAAATAGTACACAAAGATGGGAATATATATATATATATATATATATATATATATCTGGCACATGTCAAACAATTATCAAATAAGTGTAGCAATTTTAATAATAAAATAAAATTCAAGGAAAATAGCTTTATAGACACTTAATAGTTTATTTCATAATAATGCTCCAGAAATCAAGGTAATTGGTTGGGGAGATAGTGAATAAAAAGAAAAACATACAGGAAGACACAAATTTCCAGTCTCTCTAGTAAACTTCTAGTCTCCTCACAACCATTAATGTCAGAGTTAACCAGTGAGCCAGCTGGAAAAGCAAAGGTATAGAAACAATAACAAAATAAAGAGACTAGAATATTGAAGCTGCAAGAAAATAGTTTCATAAATAATTCAGACCCCCTTTTTACCTGCTAATAATATCACATAATAGTACCCCCTATGTACATTTTAACAAACTTTTGAACTTCCATACAACTATAAAATTCAGTTATTACTTTTGGCTAACAAGATAACTGTGTTTCATACAAATAAAATTGTCTCACCCTCTCCCCTAACAAGGACATACAAAGTACCAATAGTATCCTCATCTAAATGTGGGTGCCAATCATCATACACTTCTTGAACTAATATCAATCACTTCTCAAAAATTCATAATATTCAGCTATTTGAGCTGAATATTACAAATATTAAGGTCTGTATTCCAAATTTAACCACAAAAAATGAGATAGAAGAAAGTAGTTAACCTACTTCTTCCCATCATCCTAGATGTGAAACATATAAAAAACTTATAGTATATAATATATACTATACTTGTATAACAATATAATTATAGAATTACAATAAGAATATCATAATTATTATATAATATTAATATAATAATATGTAAGATCTAGATTATTATTTACGACCTATTTTAGTGAATCTGACAATTTTATTGAAATATTTGCAGAATTGAAAACCTGGTACTTAATATACACGTAAAAAATACATAATAAGCAAAAGAGAAAAATACATTGCTACTGACTTCCTTATTTCTTTAGTTATACACAAGGCCATAATTAATATTTATATAACTTAATGTTCATATATTTAAAAATTCCTTATTGTACACACCATTACCTATTTCTTTTTTAAATATGTTTTTAAGTTGTAGTTGGACACAATACCTTTATTTTATTTATTTATTTTTATGTGGTGCTGATGATCAAATGCAGGTCCTCACATGTGCTAGGTGAGCACTCTACCACTGAGCCATACCCCAGCCCCCCAATTCCCTATTTCCTTTGCTTTCAGACAAGACTCCATCTCATCAATGTTCTTTACCCAGGGGCTAACCCATTCATTCCTGAAGGATTAGAATCCTCATTAAACTTGCCTTATTTTTGTTACACTATCTTTGCATTAATATTTACTACTAGATATATAATTACTAAACATTATTCCAGACAATCTTGTGGCTTATTTACATAGCCCTTCATGCTACCACCATGAAACTACAGTTTCTCCTTGATAAACAATATCAGTCACACTCAAAAGAGTGACTTCCATTATTTTCCTGTTGATTCAGTAGCATAAAGAACCTTCAATAGCCAGGGGGCCCAGAATCTACTTCATTATAACTAATATAAGCATAAAACAATATTTTCAAAAGAGAGACAGTAAGTCACCAGTACGACTCAAAAGAAAAAGAATGTGAAATTGAAAACAATGGATTGATCTCTCAAATTTTGATGAAAGAATATTATTGAAAACTTAGAATTTTATACATAGTCCACCATAAGGACATATAAAACCTATAAGCACAAAGAGCGGCACCAGGGTGGGCTTTGAGCAGGATGGAGGCGACTTTGGAGCAGCACTTGGAGGATACAATGAAGAATCCGTCCATTGTTGGAGTCCTGTGCACAGACTCAGAAGGATTTAATCTGGGCTGTCGTGAGACCCTGTCAGATGAACATGCTGGGGTTATATCGGTTCTAGCCCAACAAGCAGCTAAACTAACCTCTGACTCCACTGATATTCCTGTGGTGTGCCTAGAATCAGATAATGGGAACATTATGATCCAAAAACATGATGGCATCACTGTGGCAGTGCACAAAATGGCCTCTTAATGTCTCTCATCAGTTCTCCAGCAGCCTGTCATAGGGACTCAATCCTACTATGTTAATCATCTTACAAAACTAGTTAATTTGCAGTGATTAAGCCATTCATTGAATATGCATTGGGTACTTTTCTATTTATTTTAGAGTGTATTGCTTTTTAACCAACATATCAAGATATTAATAAGGATCATGTTTTGAAGCAGGATGTCCAGATCGCTTTGTCTATAAAATTTTGTTAGGTTAAATAAATCTGCTTGGAGGAAAAAAATATATATATACACACGCACTTACACACACAAAGAAATAAATAATAATGACAGTAATATAGAAGACAATCCATAGAGGAAATTAACAAAGACAAAATTAATAAAATATCCATAAAATTTATGAACCCCATGCTGGAATAATCAAGAAAGAGGAAAAACATAAGTAAGTGATATCAGGAATAAAAGGGGACCTATCATTACAGATTATCTAGACATTAAAAATAATGAAGAAGGGAGCTGGGGATGTGGTTCAGTGGTAGAGTGTTTATCTCACATGTATGAGGCACTGGGTTCAATCCTCAGCACCACATGTGAATAAATAAATAAAATAAAGGTCCATCACAAATAAAAATATATTTTAAAAAATAATGAAGGAATATTATGAAAATCATGCCAACAAATTTTTAAATAGATGAAATTGGCAAATTTTATTGTAAAGGACAACTTAATAATATGGCAACAAGAAGAAACTAAGATATGAAGAGCTTGATGTTTAGGAGAAGATAGACCCAAATGGTCTTAATATAAATCCTTTCAAATATTGAAGTAGGAAATAATATAAAACTCATACTAAAATTTCTGAAAACAGGGGAGGAAAATATGCTTTCAAATATAATTTTTTAAGGCCAGAATAACATTTCTGATATTAACAATGATCAGGATATTTCAAGTAAAGAAATGCAAAGTCAAATAACTTTCAGAGTTAAATCTGAAGGTATAAGAATCTTCACTGTGATATTTGCAAATCCATAAAGAGACATAAATAATTATGCAATGCAATGAAGTGAGGTTTATCGCAGGAATGGAAGGTTCTTCAACATTCAAAAGTCAATAATTTAAGTCACCACATTTTAAGTTAAAAGGATTTATATATATATATTATATATGATAATTTTAGTAGATTCAGAACAATTTGAGAAAATTTAACAGTAGGTTGATAATTAAAAAAAAACTCACCCAACAATATATAGAAGGAAACTACCTTAAACTGATAGAGAACATCGATAAGCACTCTACAACTACATCATATTTGATGTTTAAATAGTAAATGTTTTATTCCAAGATTGAAGTCAAGGGAATGTGCTCAATTTCATCACTTCTATAAGCATTATAGTAGAAATTCTATTATATTAATGCAAGAAAGAGTAATTCAAGTAAAGCAATTAAAAAGGAGATTATTAATCAGTCATGATTTGCAAATGACACAATAGTTTACATGGAAAATTTTAACTTACAAAAGAAGTAGATTACTAACTGAAATTATCAAAGATATAGGATACAAGGTTAGTATAAAAGTTCTATTTGTTTATTTTTGTGATACCAGGGATTAAACCAAGGGACACTCTACTTATTTTACTATTGAGACAAGATATCACTAATTTTCCCAGGCTGGTGTTGAACTTGTAATCCTCTTGCCTCAGTCTCCTGAGTCTCTAGGATTTTAGAGATTTTATGTGCCCCACCATGCCTAGATCTTATTAATTTTTAGTTTATTTATTATTTTAATTTGTTTTTTAGATATATATGACAATAGAGTGTATTTTGACATATTATACATTCATGGAGCACAATTTATTCTAATTATTATCCCATTCTTGTGGTTGTACATGATATGGAGTTACACTGGTCATGTATTCTTATAAGAGCATAGGAAAGTTATGTCTGATTCATTTTACTATCTTTCCTATTCCTTCCTATCCCTGCTCCTTTCCCCATTCCTTTCCTTCATTCCCCTTTGTCTAATCCAATTAAATTCTATTCTATCTCACTCCACCCTCCCTTGCTGTGGAACGTACTTCCTAAATAAGACTCCTAAAGTGCAAGAAATAAAATCAAGAATCAATAAATGGGATGGCATCAAACAAAAAAAAACCCATCTGCATAGCAAAGAAAACAATCAAGAACATGAAGAAAGAGCCTACAGAATGGGAGAAATTCTTTAACAACTACACTTCAAATAGAACATAAATCTCCAAGATATATAAAGAACTCAAAAAACTTAACACCAAAAAATAACCTAATCAATAATTGGGCAAAGGAAATGAACAGACACTTCACAGAAGAAATATAATAATCACTCAACAAATATATGAAATATATGTTCAACATCACTAGCAATTAGAGAAATACAAATTAAAACTACACTGAGATTTCATTTTACTCCAGTCAGAATGGCAATTATCAAGAAGACAAGTAACAATAAATATTTCAAGGATTTGGTGGGAAAGGTTCATGCATACATTGCTGGTGGACCTGCAAATTGGTGTGACCACTCTGGGAAGCAGTATGGAGATTTCTCAGAATACTTAGAATGGAACAACTGTTTGATCCACTTATCCCACTCCACAAAGGAGTTAAAATCAGCATACTTCAGTGAGGCAGCCACATCAATGTTTATAGAAGCTCAATTCACAATATACAAGCTATGGAACCAACATAGGTGCCCTTCAACAGATGAAGGGATAAAGAAAATGTGGTATGTATACATAATGGAGTATTATTCAGCCATAAAGAACAATGAAATTATGGTATTTGCTGGTAAATGGATGGAACTGGAAAAGACTATAATGCTATGTGAAATAATCCAATCCCCCAAAATCTAAAGGCTGAATGTTTCTCTGATAGGTGAATACTAATCTTATTTATTTTTAATAGTAGCACCAAATAATTAGAAAAATAAATTTACATAAAGAACACCACATGAAATAGAATCAAAATTATAAAATGCTTAGAAATTAACAAAAGATGGCTAAGACTACTAGAATGAAAACTACAGAACATTGCTGAAAGAAATTTTTACAGATCTAAATAAGTGGAGATGATAGTTCATGTTTATGAATTGGAAGACTTAATAGTCTTCAGATGTCAATTCTTTCCAAAATTGTTTATGGAGTCAGTGTAATTTCAATTAAAATCACAGAAAAGTTTTTGTAGAAGTTGAAGAGCTGATTCTAAAATGTGTGTGTAAATGTAAACTTTAAATAACAAAAGCAATGACAAAGTTGAAGGACTTATCCAACCTCATATTGTAACTCTCACCATAAAGATGCAGTAATCCATATGATACTATGTTGGCCTAAAGAAAGATGTAGAGATTTTAAAAAAAATGCAGAGTGGAGAGTCCAAAAACTGATTTACATATTCATACCAAATTGTTTTAGGGAAAAGAGTTAACATAATTCAATTGGAGAAAGTATAGTCTTTTTATCAAATGGTGCCAGTAAAACTAGATATCCATATACAAAGGCTATTTTAAAATTATGAATCACATACTTCATAAAAATTAATTGGAAATTAATTAAAGACCTAAATGTCAAAGGTAATATGGCCAGAAAACAACATAGGATAAAAATCTTTATAAACCTGGGTGAGATAAAGATTTCAGAAAAATGACACAAAATCACCAATAAAAGATTGATAAAATGGACATTGCTCAAATTAAAATTTTCTTCCATTCAAAAATGTTATTAAAAATAAAATGGAGGGCTGGGTATGTGGCTCAGTGGTCGAGTGCCCCTGAGTTAAAGCCACAGTACCAAAAATAATAATAATAATAAAAGGGAATGCCAATTCAATGGGAGAAATTGTTCACAATGAATTCATCTGATAATTGACTATACTCCAGAATATATAAAGAGCCCTTTCAACTCAAAACAAGAAGAAAATAACCTAATTTAAAAATGGACAGAAGACTGAATAGAAAGCTCACAAGGGAAGCTATATGAATGGCCAGTAAATATATGAAAGTCTGTTTATCAGAATAATATATAATTTTAAACCTCAAAAAGACTATAATAAGTTTTAAAATGAATTTTAAACTAATAATGTTAAGTTCTAGAAATTAGAATATATTTTGTACTGAATGATAAATTACAATATATTAATACTTGTTGGATGTAACTCAAGAGTCACAGAAGGAAATTCATAGTTTAAAATTTATGTTTTAGAAAAGAAAATTTCAAATTAATATTTTAAGCTTCCATTTGGAGAAACTAGAAAATAAACAGCAGAAATTAAAACCATATAAAATAAAGAAGAAAAGAAATAACAAAGGTAAGAACAGATATCAGTATAATAGAATACAGTCATTAAAATAGAGCAAATCAAAAAAGACAACAGTCTGTTCTTTGAATATCATAATTAAATTGTGATTATAATGAAAAACAAACCACATTAAGAAAGGGAGATATCACAACAGAGCCTATGACCTTTCAAAGGATGATAATAGAATATTTTGTACAACTACACATTGATAAATTTAATAAATTAAGTGCACATATTTCATGAAAACATGAATTACAAAACTAACCACAGAAACCTAGATAATCTGAATAATCTTATGTTTGTTAAACAAATTGATTCTATAATTTAAAACATTCCCTCAAATAAAACCTCAGATCTGATGGCATCTCTGGTGTATCCTACCAAACATTTGCTGAGGATAAAGTATGTCTCTCAAACTGACAATAAAAATGAAATAGCAATCACAGACTTTCCCATGAGACTAAACCTTGAAGGCAAGTCCTGACAGAGATATTCCAAGAAAATCCAATTACGTAGCAATGTTCTTCATGAAAATAATTATGCAAATATTATAGGAAAAAAGGCTAAATAAGATGATTTGTAAAATTATGCTCATTTGCAATCATCATCAAAGAAATAAAAATATAATAGCAAAGGAATTTTCTTTCTTAATCTTTTCGAATTCACAAACTAGAAAAATAATGCACTTGGGACTGAGGTTGTAGCTCAGGGGTAGAGCACTTTCCTTGAACATGTGAAGCCTGGGTTCAATCATCAGCACCACATATAAATAAAATAAAAAGTTATTGTGTCCATCTACAACTAAAGAAAAACATTAAAAAAAGAACA